AGGTACTCACTCCTTCATCACTGTCCTCCTCATCATCGTCCTCGCCACCTCCGGCAGGTCCTGTCGTTGTCCCTCCTTCATCACTCTCCTCATCATCATCGTGCTCACCAGCTCCGGCAGGTCCTGTCACTGTCACTCCTTCATCACTCTCCTCCTCATCATCATCATCCTCACCACCTGTCGCTGTCACTCCTTCATCGCCCCCCTGTGTGTCTCAGGTCGGCCCAGCTGCTCTCTCGGTACCGGCCGCGGGCCCCTATCCTGGCGGTGACCCGCAGCGCCCAGGTGGCCCGGCAAGCCCAGCTGCTCCGCGGCGTCTTCCCAGCGCTGTTCCTCCAGCCGCCGGCCGCCGTCTGGGCCGACGACCTGGACCGCAGGGTCACCTTCGCCATGGACATCGGTAACGTGGGGGGGCGGTGCCCCGCGATCCCGTCTCTCCCCCCTGCGCCCTCTCCCCCTGACCAGCCCCTCTCTCCGCAGGCCGGGCGCGCGGCTTCTTCGGGGCGGGAGACATGGTGATCGTGGTGACGGGCTGGAGGCCGGGCTCCGGGTTCACCAACATCATGAGGGCCGTCAGCGTGCCGTGAGCACGGCCTGACACAGCGACACAGCGACACAGCGACACAGCGACACAGCCGCTCTCTGAGACCGCAACACAGCAACACTGACACAGCAACTCTCTGAGACTGCAACACAACAACACTGACACAGCAGCTCTCTGAGACCGCAACACAACAACACTGACACAGCAGCTCTCTGAGACCACAACACAGCAACACTGACACAGCAGCTCTCTGAGACCACAACACAACAACAATGACACAGCAGCTCTCTGAGACTGCAACACAACAACACTGACACAGCAGCTCTCTGAGACCGCAACACAGCAGCACTCTGACACAGCAACACAGCAACACAGCAACACAGAGCAGCATAACACAGCAACTCTCTGACACCCCAACACAGCAACACTGACACAGCAACACAGCGACACAGAAACTCTCTGTCACAGTAACACACTGACACAGCAACTCTCTGTCACAGTAACACACTGACACAGCAACACAGCAACTCTCTGACACAGTAACACACTGACACACCGACTGACACAAGCACACAGTATTACAGTGTACACAAGCAGCGCTGGGAGATGTAACCCTACAGGCCACGCCTGCTCTTGTCAGAACGCCACAATAAATCAGTCAAGCCTCTCCTGTGCTGGGTGTGCGGTGTGTGTGTGTGTGCCTCTCGCTGAAGCCAGCCTGACCATGGAGATGACCACATCAGCGTAGAGGGACAGACAGCTGGACAGAGACAAGACAGATGGACATAGGGACAGGCAAACAGACAGGTCGATTAACAGGACAGCAGTGTCTGCTGCCTCGCGCGTTGGCATCAATACTCACACAGCGCAATACATCACTCCTGTGCCCCTGTGGACAGCGGGCACAGCCAGGAGAGAGGGCTGGTCTTCACCCTGGGGGCTCCAGAGCCTCTCTGAATGAGCCCCCTACAGCGGCGTCATCATAACAGCAGACACATCCTGGGGTGATGTCATCACACGACAAGCACATCCTGGGGTGATGTCATCATGGCCCCTAGCAGATCCTGCGATGATGATGTCATCATGGCTCCTAGCACATCCTGCGGTGACGTCATCATGACACTGCACTGTGACTTCATTTCTGCTGAACATCTGTAGAAAGACTTTTGACATTAACGTCACATAGTGCATTTCTTTTTTAGAATTTCAACCTTGTGCACTACATGTTCCTTATTTTATCCTGTCTCATATTTTGTAAACGGACATTTAAACTCTTAAAACCTTAGACAGCGGAGAGAGTGTCATGAAACCACGATAAGATAGGAGCCCAAACAGGAGACTCTGGCGTCTTGTTGACGGATTAGCACATCTCTGTGTCAGCGCGCTCGTCTTTCTCGCGGGCGGGTGGCGCCGGATGAGAGTGATGATGATGATGACGTCTGTCAATACCTGTGGGTCTCGCGCTCGGCCTCCGCCGTGTTGTCACTCTCCAGTCGCCTCGAGCCCCGCCGCCTGGCACGAGGCCCAGGATAGAGATGCGGCTGCCATGGCAACAAGGAGATCGGAATATTCCTGCACACCTCAGCGGGGCGTGCGCGCGCCGGGCTGGCGGAGCCGCCAGTGAAGCCCAGAGACACGCGCAGTCCGCACGGCGGTGCATGCAGACACACCAGCACGGGAGCATGCAGACCGCGGAAACGCTCACGGACTCTCCGACCGCGCGGAGCGCGTTTCCCTGAAGACAGACGGGCGGGCGGAGCAGGAGCATCGTCAGGGATGCAGGAGCTGCCCCTCGCCTGAGCAGAAGCGGGAGCGGCGAGCGGAGCGGCTCGGGCCTCCGGCTGCCAGGAAGCGGCTCGAGCCGCGCGAGACCCCCGCCCTCCTTCGGCTTTCCTGCCCTTCCTGCGCGCTGAGCTCGCGCCTGCGGGGGCTCTTTCTCCCCCGGACAGGGGGAGACAGGCGCTGTCGCCTTTGACAGGCGCTGTCGCCTTTGATGCCGAGGCGCTGAGGCTCTGACGACATTACGGGCGTCCTTGGAGCGACCCGCCGGTCACAAGGAGAGACGCGGCGGGGCTCGGACCAGGGGCTCGGACTGGCACGTCGGCACCCGGGAGGGACGATGCCCGCGGGAGACAGGGGGCCGAAGGCGACAGCGAGGAGAGAGGAGCGGGGCGGCC